GATGGAAAGAGTAAAGGAATCCTAGAGTTCTGAGTGCACAACCTGTAGTCCTGACAGGAAAGAAAATTAACTATGTGAGAGATCTGGATGTTGGGTTATTTGGCATGAGAGATTGCTGTTAGGTGCTGTTCAGTCGGTTTATGTAAACTATGTATGGATCTTGGGGATGCTGAAATAGGGTATTCCTCAACAGATTTTTTTCACTAAGGCTTTACCTAGGTGTACTCATCAGCAGATGACAAGTACTATTCTAGTAACACTGACCTACACCCAGTTCCCCTTGTGCCTCCACAGGAGATTTATAAGTCTCCTGGCTGTCTTTTTAAACAAACTTAAGTGTATTCCCATTCCTTTACGTGTGGTTCATAGCCCTAGCTGTTTTTCTTGCAGGACTAACATCTCTGACGCTGGATGACCCTTTGTAGAGAAGTGGAGGTAGAAGAAATAGTAATGAACAGAGATTTTAAAGTCTCTGGAAGTGAATTTGAGAGTTTTTATCAATGTGAAAAAGTAGAGTTTGAGACTTTGACTTTTAAGCCAAGTGGGAAACGCAACTATTCTGAAGGAATTTAAGTGTAAGAGTGGGTTAAGATACAAAACTAGAAATAGCTAAAGCCTTTCTTTTCTGAGGAAATTTTTTGAGGATCTCCGCTGACAAATTCTCTAACAGCACAAAACCTGAAAATGCTTACTGTCATAAAACTGACTACCGGATACTCTACATACCATCTGAATTTGGGTTTTGGCGCTGTCTTTTCTGCATTGTGCATCCGTACCTGCAACGGAAGCATATTTCTCACCGGTCGTTATGAATTTAAACTTTTTCTGTCATGTCTTGTAAAGCTATTTTGGATAAAGAGAGCTAAGAATACACGTTGTAAATGCTCTGACTAGGGAGCACTTAGTGCTGTACCTAGTGATGTACTCCCCTGACCCTTAGAAGGCAGAGAATCTGTTACTTCAGGCTTCAGTTGTATGCCCTTGGTGTTTTTTTTTATTTATTTATTCAGTAAACCACAATTAATGAATCTTCTTGTACAGTGTGTTTGCAATTTCCTGAACCATAGGAGTAGTGAGAACTCAGTAAGTTTGCAGATGCTAAGATTGCTCTTGGAGCTCCACTTCTCCTTTATAATGTCTAGAGATTCCTAATTAACATGCCGGCAGATGTTTGTTCTTTGAAGCAGTTACACAAGTCTCCTGAAGTAAAACCAGGAGACAGTCTTTCCCGATTTCTAACTATTCCCATTGGACCGTCTGGCCCATTGCACCTTCTTCAGGCAAGCTCTCTAGCACCACTGTGACTTCTTTTATGAGAAGGTGCCACTAAATACTCTCTGCTTTTGCAGGCATCAGTGCCTGCACAACTCAGCCTTGCTTTTTAAAAACTTGGTAACAAGGAGGGGTGTAACAGTGTGTTTGGCTGTGGTGAAGGTTTTATTTGCATTGACTACCGTTTAGCTATTGGGGCAAAGATGCCTGTGTCACTTGTCACCTTGGGTGGCTCATGCACAGCCCCTCAATGGGTATGCCTGGTAACTGGAGTGCCCTCCAGCACATTACTGCCCGTAGCCTGAGGAGCTCCAGGGTGTCCAGCTGTCTCCTTGCATGTGATTGTGACAGTTATTCCATGAAGTAGAAATGACCCAAGCTGGCTCTCTGCAGAAATCCGGAAGTCCTACCAGGAAGAGTTCTGATGTGATGTGTTGTTGGGAAGGGCGTCTTGCAAGCCTGATCCCAAGTTGAAGTACAGGTTCCTGCAGAAGTTGCTTGGTGAGCAGGAACTCCAGCTTGACAATGCCTGCAGTTTGATATCTCCAGGAATTCTGAGCTACCTCAGTTCTTGCATTACACTTCTAGACACAGCTAGGCCTCATGATGTAAGCAAAAGAGTGATAAAATATCTCCCTTAAAAGTGTATGCTTTGTCCTTAGTAGGAACCTAAGCTGAATGCAAGACAACCAAATTCAGAAAAACAAACCAAACAAAAAAAACAAACAGAAAACCCAAAAACACCCCAAAGAAATGTGCCAGGACTGTCTTAGATTACTGGGGAAGAATTAATCTCAGCTCTAGCTATATAGGTTTGTGGTAGAAAAAGCAAAAACCAAATCAGACCTGTTTATCAATGAGGGCAGAAACACAGGCCTTTTCTAGAGCATGACTCATCTTTCTAGTGTTGGCACCTTCAGATAGTACCAGTTTTCAAAACACATGGTTGAGGTGGAATAAATGTAATTCTAGTATCTGTAGTGTCTGGAAATCAGACATTTGTCTTTATCACCAGTCTCTCACCTCTCTGTAAGGTCCTGCCATCCAGCCAAAGATGTCTGCTCTGTTTTTCTGGGGTATGAATTCCCTTCCCCATTGCTAATAGAAGTGTTAATGAGGCCTCACTTTCCTTGGGGAATGGCAGAGCACATCCAAATCTGTGACATTAAGCACATACTTCAGATCTGTTCTAATTGCGGCATGCCAGGTGCCTAAGAACAGTATTTAAATATAAAGCAACATTAATTGTACTCTTTTCTGATACAACCTCAGCTGACCTCAGTCCTGTCATCTTCCTCTCTAATTTGAAGAAGCAAGGCTTTGCTTTGCTGTGTTTAGACTTTGAATTCTTGTCCCAGGTTGGTAATTGCCATGCATTTGGGTTTAGATACGTTTGCAAAGCCTTGCCTTACTGTAACGATCCAATTTACTTCAGAGGATAATACCCTTAGAAAACATACAAGCCATGCAAGTAAAAGCTTTGTAAAAGGAAAAAAAATAAATAGGGCAGCTAGGGGAAAAAGTCTCAGTAACACTGGGTATTTAAAAAACAAAAATAAATTCCAGGAATTCTATGCCATTTGTTTGCTTATACAAGAAAGAAGGCCAGTAAAGAAGCTGTTTCAGTGCCTTGATTCTGAACTAACCCAGTCTCTACATCAGTCATCATCACAGCTTAAAAGATATTGCCAGTGTAAAATCTGCCTTGTGTTGTGTCGTGTTTTGAGTGCAGGATGGAGAGCTGATGGTTGAACCTAGAAGTCATCTGTCCTGGCGTAGGCAGTGATTAGAGTAGTATCCTGGCTGGTTTTAGCCTCCTTGTTTGGAGGATAATAAATAATAATAATTAGATATTCCCCCCCCTTTTTTTTTATTTATTTGGTGGCTGAAAGAAATATTGCTTAAGTTTGATCCAAATTAAGAAATGTTGGAAATTCTATTTTGGCTTGAATCAATTGATTACATTTCACCTGAAATGGAAAGATGATTTTTAACTTCTGGGCTCGTGAGGAATTTTGGGCAAATGATTTTATCGTGGAATGTAAAGGACATCAACAAAACAAACAAAACCACCCCAACTAACAAAAACCTTACAACTTTTGTTTCTACTAGTTAATTGGATTGAAATGGCTGACTGAACTCAACATCAACAAAATCACAGTAATTTTGGTCTCCATAAAATTGAATCTGTTTAGGGCTGACATGAGTGGGAGTTTCTGTGGGAACACATAGGATCAACTTGTACACACTTTAAATTAGAGGTTTTTAGGAACATGGTTAATGGTAAGTAAAATGTTCTAGGTATGAGGCTGAAATATTTCTCACAACTGAATCAGCAGTTCTCCTCACCTCTGTTTTCTTTGGTTCCAGATAGAATAGCTCTCCAATAAACTGTTTTTCCTGTGCTTTAAATTAGTGTGCTTACATTTTCAAGATGCTTCTGGTCTTCAAATACCCTCCAAATGTGAAGTCTTGCTATGAAGTAGTTTGATTTCCTTCTTGCTTATCTTTCCATTGTACAGCAGTATTGGCAAGGTCATTTATTTTCAGTTTGATGTCAGCAATCCTTGGTGTTACCTTTGCTGTTGTCACACACTGAAGTAATTTCTGTGATTGGGAAAAGCTTACTTTGTGGACTGTGTTGTTTGTCAACCAATATGTCTGGCGAAATGGCTTGGGAAGCAAAAGATGCAAAAGAATAACTTCTACTACTCTTGTTCTTTCAGGCACATGTATGACCATGCTGCAAATATGTATCCGCAGCTAATAAAGAATCCCACCGTTCGAAGTGGAGTTCAGAATTTTATGATGTATGTATTTAGTTATTAGAAAAGAAATTGTTCAAGACTTGGTGCTGGAGGTTGATGGAATTTTCAAGGGTTTTTCATTCTATTTCTTGTGGGCTAGGGAAAATATATACTTCCTTCCCCTCTGATTGAATGCCATTATTATGAAAAAATTGTAAATATATGTGAAGAAGGGCGTATGCCCTTCCCTAATTCTCATTCTTTCAAAGAAATGTATAAAACCATTGCTACAAGGGCATGTGGATAATGCCAGTGAATTCTGAAGGTCGTTCTAGTCAAAATCCTTTTCCAAATAGCTGATATTTTGAATGTTATGCTGAATAGTGTGATCTCCTGGCACCTTAATCTTTTTAGCATTGTGTATCCTTTCCTTCCTCTCTTAGGTTAGCATTTTATGTATTCTACCACTGACGTAAATTCTGTTCTAATCACAAAAGTCCTGATTCCCTTTTCTCTTCGGCTGTATAAATCAAAAGTAATTCTGCTCAAATAATGCAGCTGCACTGGTGGGAAACTACAAGTGGGAGAACCACCAGGCCAGGTACCGAAAAGCTCAACTGTGATTGCCATTTAAATCTCCTTAGACTTAAGGGTTTTGTATTTTTCCATTCCAAGTACTTCTTTTTAACTTTGGTGCTTTCTGAAGGACACTTTTTATCTTTTCCATGTCTTATGCTTTCCACAAAGGATTATACATCTGACTAATTCTGTTATTGGTGCACATATATAAATTTAATTGGTTTTAGCTTATGTGAAAAGGAAAGAAAAAAACCACTTCCCTGCACTAATTTTTCAGCGTTGCTGTCATCCTTGTGAGAAAAACGGGATAGCTACCATACCAGTGTGTATGAGCTTTTTACTCCAGATACAGCAGCTGTATCCTCTAAGATGTGTTGGTGGATGGAGGGGGGCAATACTAAGTGTTCTTGCATAGTTTTTTGATTGCTTATATCGTGGACTCGGCATTGCTGCTTTATAGCAGTTTTGTGATACAGACTGCTGTGTTGTCCTGGAAGTCTTTAGGCCCTGAATGCTCTGACCATCATATCCCTCTGGCATACTTCTTGCACCTTGTTACTTCCAGAAAGTTAAATCTGTCTTATACTGTTGGAATAATTTTCTTCCTTGCCAGATTCATTCCTTGTTTTTTGCTGCTGTAGATAACGCTGGATGGATAGATACAGGAGGGTGGAAGAGGCTGGAAATCTGGTCCTGACTAACACCTGTAGTTCTTCTGTGGCCCATTGTGCACAGGAAAGGAGGGGACTCTGGGAGATCTTTAAAACATTGGCTATTCTTGCCCTAGGCTTTGTTTAGCTTGTGTTGCCTTGTGCTCTAAACCTGGGTTGTTTGGCCAGTAACCTCTTGATTGCATTTGGCACATGGCGTGGTTGTGTTGGGCCTCCCACCTTGTCCTCAGAGGAGGGTAGCGGTGGCTCTCAGACACTCTTTGAGCACCACCAGCAGAAAGCCTTCATTGCGCTTGAACCTAGGGGAGAGAAATAGGCTTTTCAAAGGTCAGTCTATTTTATACTTAAATAGGCATTTAAAAGACCTATCAGATGCTTGTTTCACTTTACTGCCTGTAAGGGAATGCTAAATGTGGTGTAGGAGAGGTCGAGTCCAACTCTCCTTGATGCTAATGTCTGATGTAGGCCCTCTGCTGCAGGGTATGTTGCATAGATCTGAACATTGACACGCAGACATGTAACATTTATCTCTACTGGATTCCAAAGCATGATTTGCCTCAAAACACTAGGAAGATTGGGTCATAATATCTTTGTCCCTTCCCTGCATTATCAATTATACTCTAAAACAAAACCAAGAAACCCCCAACCTGTTTGTTCCTCTGCAGGAAACAAGATCAATGGACAAGACAGCAAATCAGAAATAATAAGGATGACCCATTTTGGAGGCATGCTGGCTATATTATTGCACAGTTGGATGGTCTGTACATGGGAGCCCTCGAGTGGGCTAAGCTACACAAACAAACAGTAAGATTACTGCATCTCTTTTTCAGTAGCTGGGGATGGGATATCAGAGGACAAAAATGGGAGAAGGGAATCTGATTTTTTCTTTTAAATATTTTTTTTTTTTTTTAAAATAAAATACAGGCAAGTACTCATTCTGCATGCCATTCTACAAAAACTTCAGTGGCTGTTCCGTGTAGGTAACAGGTTGTGTCACTACAGATCCTCTGTACTGCACTCGGAGCCCTGGGTTCTCAGGTGCTGGCTAGATTGGGGGTGGCTTTTGTATCCACCTGTGGATGTTGGAAGGACTGACACTTCTAAAATGCTTGCTGTTACCACTTTACAATTGTTACTGAGCAAATGACCCTCTAGGTATAGAGTAGCTGCAACAGCATGAATCGG